GAAAATGGATAATAATACGAAGCATACAGAAATATGCATTCTAGTTGCAACCTCTACGTTTTCCCCGGACGAAGTCCATGATGAAGGTCAAACCTCGGTATTATCTGTGGAAAATGATTCCTTATCATTGAGCCAAGTTGTCGAATGTTTTGAAGGATTGGAAGATGTGAGTGTTGGTGAAACGCGTACTTGAAATAAACATAGTCAGTTGTCTTATTCAGTACCGTTTGCATAGCGATTCACCTGATTTACGTCCTGAATTGCGTCGGTTTTTTGCCTGTATCAAATACGAACCGGACATCGAAGTTGTCAAGGGTGCGGTAAGTTGGAAATTTATTGCAGAATTCCCGTCATAGATTAGATGTAAAAGCAATTACTATAAGGATAATCAATTCATGGAGTGTGTCGATATTGCTGAGCAACAACTAAAAGATATAAGAAACACAAATCGTATGACCGATACCATCTGACGGTTTTTATTTCCTACAAGTGAAAGATTGATTCAAACTAGGTGCGGGAAAAGGAAGCTGTTTAGTGCAGCTTTATAATCTTTTAAAACTGCCCTGCTACGATTATTGTTATAGTTTCTGAGCAATTTTGATAACTGCGAAAGCTGTTGCAAAATCTTCTTGCAAATTCTTCGTCTAACAGCTTCGAAGATAGGAAAGAGAGTGAACATTGTAATCAGCTGTATCTGATAAAGTGCTTACTCATCAAATTCCATTCCCTATGCCTTCCCTTGCGAGCGTAGTGCAGTGCAAAACTCAAATCAGTATTTTAACGGAATGATATTGAGTTGAAATGGGGTTAATACATATTATCAAGTGATCTAACGCTATATGGACCACAAAAGTTATTTAGGCTCGGCATCTTCTGGAAAGTTGCGATAGGCTATTTCTTGATAATGCCAAAGAAGTGTTCAGAAAAGAAGTACAGAATATTCATGACTGTAAAGACGCACTAGAGAAGATGATAAGGTTAGTTACAAATATTGCTCATACATTAAGTTACTCTACCGATTTCCTGATAACTCTTATCCACCGTGGTTAAATCTATGTTTTTAGTTCCGAAAGATCGCAATGGGCTGTTGAACGGGAAAACATGGAATTACAACTAAATCGCTGCCGCCGCCATATAGAACAATTTCCAAATATCCATAAAGAGAGGGCTATCATTATGTAATTTTGTTTACTACCATGTAAAGGAGTCCTGCATACATTCTACTACAGGGCAGAACTGAATGCAACCAGAACGCAAATTGAGCAGTATCGGCTTAGGCTTCGACAAAAATGCGAAGAAGTTGATAGACTGGAAAAGGAGAGAGACAGCATTGCAGCTTTGGCTAAAGAGTTTCAGAAATTAGACCAAGTACAACATTACATTTCTCTTTTAGAATGATAATACTGGTATAAGGTGTAGGTAAAAATTTACTACTATTCAGGATTCCCAGGAACAGATCAAGGAGGCGAACAGTGTTATAGACGAGCTTGAAAGGAAACTTAAAGATGTTTGTGCCGATCTTGAGAGGTATGCATAAATCAAATATATAGTCTGTAGCAGAAAGTCCATCCATAAGATCGTCTATTGCGAAAAGTATATCTGTAAGCTTCAAGAATCTTGTCAGTCCATATGTGAAAAACCGCTTTCTTCCTGAGTGCCAAACTTTCCTAGTTATCATTGCAAACAATATTTGAGAACCATATCTGTAATTTGTCGATGCCACTATTAATTATCTCTACTATTATTTGATTGCCAGTGCAACAGCAAGTCCATCTTAAACGGGTTTTACATAAATCATACTGTTCCTTCTGTTGTTTTAGTGTCTTGTATCCGAATTTGTTCGGTCGTATGTTTAAAAAAAAAA